CGTTTCCGATTTCCTGGTAATCACAATATAATAAAATTGTAAATGTTGTAACCGCTGGTTTGTTTTATTTCAGTTTTAAGTGAAATAAAATAAATAACATCAGTTAATTATTAATTAACGGTGAAATAAAGCGGAAGTGCAACAAAAAATTCAAAAATCGATCTTGTTATCTATTATCAATTCTGAGGCTTCCGTTCTTACTGAACACACAGTATATAAGCAAACTTAACTCGAGCCAATCAACCAGCTCAGTTTCAGTGTAGCATTTTGGCTTTTTCCAGTGAAGTAAAGTCTCAAATCCGCTTATAATGTTATTTTCTCTGGTTGCACTTTGGGTATGGAAGGATTGGAATCTACTATATTAGATTAGCAATGCATTCTATAGAAGTGGAATAAAAAAGAGGTAAAAATGTTCCTTTTTTTCGATTTAGAACCAGGTGAAACCTCATCATTAGTTGGGTTATTGTACATACGAAATGGGCAATTACGTGTTTTTAAGTGGTACCGAGTTTTGTAATATCGCAAGAATGAGAAAATTAAAAAAAAACACTTTTTATCATTCACCCTGCAATAACTGCGAAACTATTCAACATATCCGAATGATTTTTTGCTTGACTCGAATTGAACTTGAATGACAACGCGTCACTCTTTACGTGAAAGCTCAAAATATTTTCTCAATCATTCGCCAAAATCAAATCCTAAACCTAAACTTTGGTAGAAATTCGAAAGTAACCAAGAAGGATCATCCATTTCCTGGCCTAGAACATGGTGGAAAGTTGGGGAGAAACAGTTTCAAAAAATGTTTTGACGATACATTGTCCCACAGGATGGGACACAATAAGTGCATTTTTGAAAATTGCCAAGAACACAAACAATATTAAGATTAAAAAAAAAGAGTATAATTTGCCGTTTTTACCACCAATATATTTTGTTTTTGTATAGAAATGAATTGTCTGCGGATGCTGTTAACAACAAATTGAGACAGACCTGCGATTGACCTGTCACCAATTGACAATTCATTTCAAGGTATTATTATGTTAGTTCAACGCTATAATGTTTTTTTTTTAATTATTTTAGATGCATATATCAACTGAAAACTTGGTATTCCAGTCACGTACCCTATACAAATTTTGATAATCCCAATAAATTTTGAAAAAAATGGATAATGAAAAAATCTGAAAATTTAGTCGCAGTTGTTACAAAAGCTTACTCTTCAATCATATGTTGAATATTTTCGGAGTTATTGGAGAGCGAATGATAAAAAGTTTTTTTTTTGAATTTCCGCATTTTTGCCAGTTTTTTCGATTTTACAAAACTCTGTACAACTAAAAAATCAATAACCTAATTAAAGATTTCATTTAGATTTTATCTGGTTCTAAGTCGATTTTTTTTTCAAATAAGTAGAGAATTTTAGAAACTTTTTTACTCCACCACAGGGTCGAAGATAGAGTAAAGTTCATTATCTCATTGCTTTCCAAAACTATGAGAAAATGGTACACACAAAAGTTGTAAAGATTGTTAGGATGCACAATTTAAAATTATTTTTAAATATACATGGTGGGTTAAAAAAGCGTGACGAATAAAGCATACATTTTCTTAAATCGAGATTTTTTAATTTAAATTGAACAAAAATATATTCGTTTATTCTGAACATCATGTAGCATCTGATTCAAATTAGGTTTACGTATGTATTACTAGTAATAAAAAAGTTGAAAATTTTTAAAAGGAGTTCAAACAAAATTTCCATTAAAAAAAAAAATGTCAAAATAAATAAGAACTAAAAGTTCAATTTTCACGAAATTATATATTTTTACATGACAATTGTATCGTTGTAGAAACAATTGTCATGTAAAAATATATAATTTCCTGAAAATCTGAACTTTTAGTTCTTATTTATTTTGATAAATGGATTTTCATCAAGTAAAAGCCACCTCAGTTCAATTTGTAAAAAAGAATGTTTTATTCGTCGCGATTTTTTGAGCGACCGTGTATACCTTAAAAATGATTTTTACTTGTACACCCTAATAATCTTTAGAACTTTTTTATTTACCTTAAAGTCCGTTAAAAATATATTAACTAGAGAAAAAAGTTGTTTGGATTCGTTTATATTTCTAAAATATTATATTATTATATATAGGGTGTTTGTATTTTCGTGCACAAGCAACAACTGTCTTATCATAAATATTAAAATAATTTTTGTATTCTTCGGAAAATTTTAGCTATTTTTCATATACAGGGTTAGTCCAAAATCGCACAGCGTCTATATATCCCAAGAATTATTGAACTAACATTTATTAAATTTGGTATACGGTGGTTTCTAATTAGGCCGGATCCAATGGTGACATAGGCGACGTTGCCACGTTTACGGGTTTTTAACTAAGCTTTGAAATTTTCCTTTTTTAAATGTAAATGATTTGTTTTTATTCCATTTTTGGATTGCTAATACCCATATTCATCCGTTTTTGGAGGAATGACAAAAAACGAAAATAATTAAATATTGAATCAAAAAAATAGAATTCATAAAACACCGCCCAAAAGCTAAAACAAAGGATGAATAGTTTATAAATGTTTACGCAATCATCAGTGAAAAGAGTTTTTGGCAAAAATGGATGTTCCAGATGGGCTGATGGAACTTTGTGGTCGAGTGTCGGTGAATTTCCCAAGTTATATTAGTTTTTCGGACGAGGCGGCTTTTTGCTGAATCGCTTCGTTAATCGATATAATTACCCAATGTACATATATCTCCTTGAGAAATTGGCTGAAAATGATCCAGGTCGGCAGATGGAACTTTGTGGCCGAGTTATTCTCAAAAGCTAAATGGGTGGTTTGGAATAATTGGTGCAAATATAATATTGCCTTACTTTAACAATGTTATTCCCATCAGTGAAAAATATTATACCTGTTTAAGGACTTAAGTTATCCTCAAATTAGCTTTGCTATATTTGAACATCAGGAATAAATAAATAAATAAAAGCATACAGCAAAATAGCAAAAAAAAAGGAAATATTTAAATATCAGCAGTCTAACAAGATTTATTTTAGATTTTCAAATACTCTCACCAACTTCGGCATGCATCAAGTAGTTACAGGGCCCACTCGGGTTACTGGAAACTTTAGTTCGCTTCTTGGTGTACTCCTCTAATTTATCCATATGTGACAATATTGAAGTTCATGATATGAGTGACATCTCAGATCACTGTGTTTTTTGTAATCTCAATCTGCAGAAAAACCGTCATCCAACCCTTTTTCGATCCTTTTGAGATTTTGATGATTTAAACGCACAAGTTGACTTTCTTACGAATAACATGAATTATTTATTTGATATTCATGTTTCATTAAAAACATTAAAAACTTTTAATAAAACTCAAAAATAGGTCACGTTCAAGATACAAACGTCTTAAGTCAGATATTACTTTAAACGAGTATAGAGAATTACGAAAATTTGAGTAATTTTTGGTAATTTATATTGGGTAAAAACATCCGAGCAGGGTCCATAAACAAAATTGAGATGACTCAAAACCAGTGTTTCACAGATAGATTTTTTACTTAAAGCACAGAACATCTTTACTGTGATAGATGTTGATATCAATATAAGCGTATTGGAAAACTTTGGAAATCTGTGTATGAAATCTAAATTCATTATCAAAGATCATACCCAAGTTTTTACACTCCTGGAATTTTAATACCATATACGAATATCCAAGTTTTGAGCAGAAATGTCGAAATATATGAATCAAATGTTTTGAAATCGGTGGATCTGCCGAAAGTGGTACTATCCAGTGGCCGCCTCCTTCATCAGATTTAAATCCCCTAGATTTTTTTTGAATCACTTAAAATTGAAGTGTGCAAAACCAAATCCTCTGACTGACTCAGAAGAATGGACAAGAACAGAAATTGAAGCTGTAACACCGAATGCCCTGCAACACACCGTACTGGAATTTAGAGACTGCTTAAGACATTCTTAAGTACCAGAAGGACGTCACTTTGAGCGTTTATTAAAATAAGTACCTTTCCTGATTTTTAAATAGTTGATATTGTTATTTAAAAATACCAACTAAATTCTAGTTTATTGACTTATTCATTAATTTGTTACATGAAATACTTCGAATTTTAAGCGCAATCCAAAAATGGAAAATCATACTCTTAGGAAAAGAACATAAATGTGGCAACATGACCTATGTCACTGTTGGATCGAGTCTAATTAGAAACCCCCGTATACTAAATTTTATGGATTTAAGTTTAATAATGGAGGTTGAATTTTGGTTAACCCTGTATAATATTGCACACCTAAGTATTATCGTTTTTGACAGATTTTGAATTTTATGTCTAAATATATCTATCGGAAGTCTTTATTACATATATAGATTGGATTTCCCTATACTTTAGTGGTCATTTGATATGCAAGTTACAGCTGCTATTGGTTTACTATTTATAAACTTTCATTAAAGTCTAGATGTATTTTTCATTCCAACTTTATAACATTGGTCAACATTTAATAACTAAAATTATGTTGGTTGCTTTTTGCTATAATCATATTTTTGCTTGACTTTCGAAAGTAGATAAAACAGATTTAAAATTAAGTGATTTGAGTGTTTCTGTGCCTAATTCTTTAAATATTTACATTTTTATGTTGAACTTTTCTTTTAGCGAAAACATTTTCTTAAATCGAATATCTAAATATCTATCTATTTTCAGGCAATTCGGTAAAGTGTTACCATTGCTCATCGAAGTCCAATGAAACCGAGTGCACGTATCCGGAAAAATACGGTTTTCAGCCGGTCATTTGTTCAACATTTCATAACTAAAATTATGTTGGTTGCTTTTTGCTATAATCATATTTTTGCTTGACTTTCGAAAGTAGACAAAACAGATTTAAAATTAAGTGATTTGAGTGTTTCTGTGCCTAATTCTTTAAATATTTACATTTTTATGTTGAACTTTTCTTTTAGCGAAAACATTTTCTTAAATCGAATATCTAAATATCTATCTATTTTCAGGCAATTCGGTAAAGTGTTACCATTGCTCATCGAAGTCCAATGAAACCGAGTGCACGTATCCGGAAAAATACGGTTTTCAGCCGGTCATTTGTGACAAGACCGCCATCGAGAAAACGCAATCGTTTGCCAAGAGCGTCGATCCGCGATACGATGCCATTTTTGCAGTGGACCATCTCGACATGGCCAAAAATTTGGACTTGAACTGTTTGAAGGTCGTTACCAAAGGTAAGATTTCAGAGCGTGAGCCGCGCAAAAATCAAACCATAGAATACGGGGTATTTCAAAACTCATATTTTGATTTATCAAATGAACTCATCTCCGAAAGATAATAGTTACGGAGATATAGGGCGATAAAAGAAATTTTGTTTTTCTGTTTTTTATTATTTACGTTTACAATTTTAAAAATTTAGGCACGAAAATCCGTACGCGGGTGTTTTCGGGGATAACAAATGAAATGGCGTAATCGGTTTTGCGATAACTTGTAGATGGCGCCACCTACACACATGTTTTGCAAAAATATCACCATATTTATTTTGTATAATATCAAATTTAATTTCTGATAAGACAGGGTCATTTTCTTGGATTTTTTAAGTAAAAAAGTATTTCAAATTGTTTTCCATACATTTTTAAGTACACTCAGAGAAAAAACGCTTTAAAATTAAAAAATAATACCGCCGGTGCTTTTTAATAAATCAATAAAATGCTATATGGTTCTATAATGTCCTGTGGAAGCTAAAATGTGCATAATAATGTCTGCATTTGAATCGAAAAGGACATCATACAAATCATAATTAACAGATAATGAAACAAGCATCACAAAATATTATTTTAAATGTTTAATATAACAATTTTAACACGTTATTGATTTAAAACAAACATGCTATCAATATAAATTGTAAGGAGTCATTTTTTCCGTTAATGCTAACCGTGGACTAGAAAGTCCTATTTTTTAATTCCAAGCACATCCCATATTAATTTAACAGGTTTCCCATTAAAATATAATATTTTAATTGGAATTAAATTTGCCCCCACTATGAATTAATGATATCCGCCTTACTTAAAATTAAACGAGCAGATTTTTTTTTAATCATACCTACTTGCTATTATTCAGGTTTGGGTAATAAAACGAAAGACATTTAATAAGAATGTTTAAGTGTAATCTTTCAGCTCTTCTTGGTTGACCTATTTTTCAACGCTTAATTTTATACAGCCCATATATGATATATATACTAAATTGCTTGTTTACTTATCGCCAATAATTTAAGAAATGAACTTATCTTAAAACCAACAAGAAAACGGTCACCAAACCTGAAGACACCGAAAATGCAAACGGCGGTCCCTATCCAACCATACAAAATGACAGCAGATACTCTTTTCTTTTTAAAATGTTAAAGAAATCTTTTAGCAATAACAACCCTTAAAATATAGACGTTCAAGGTTGATTAATGTAGTCATCATGAGAACGGAAAGAAATCCTTTTGTAATAAGTAGGTAATAACTTGTTTAAAACAAATACGCAATACATCAAATATAGGAAAAAAGCAATTGATATTTTAAACTTACTCAACTAATAATTTATAAACAAATAATAGTCAAAATATTTTTGGAACATACCTAGAATATTCTATTTTGATTAGTTAAATTGCAAAAAAGAGTTGATTTATTGCAAGGCAATTAAGTATTTATTACCGGATATTTTTACTATTTAGGAATCTTCTGGATTCTTCCTGCGTCGTCTGTTGATGAATTGCTGACGTTTCGCTAATCATCCTGTTGGCTTCTTCAGATATTAAACTAGAGGCATAAACGTTCGTCTCGAATGAATGATTCGGATATTGGTGAAAGATAAACACCTGATTTTTATAAATTCTTTGATTTTTCATTAGTAGAAGAATTAATTGCATCCCAGAATTTTAGTTTTATCGAATAAAGTTTGATGTCCGCTTTCTTGATTGTGGTCGACAACTGTTGATCTGTTTATTTGTCGTAGTTTTAAGGCTCTATCAGTTTCTTTGAGTCTAGTTGATATTTTTCGTCTACTCTATCTAATATATTCTTTGTCGCATATGCGTGGAATGCTGTAAACTACTGGTATCTCAAACGGAATTTTATCTTTGACGGATCGAAGACCTTGAGAGATTTTTGGGCAAGTGGTAATTCTGGTTTTGACAACATATTTCTTAAAAACTCTTGATGTGGTCAGTAATGCTTCGAATGTAAGGAAGGACAACATGGGCAAGTGTGGGGTCGCTTTCCGACTCTTTGGAAGGTTGTGGTGAAGTGTAATTTGTGATGGAACGATTAATTTCTCTAATGTGAAAATTATTAAAGAGAAGAGCATATGTAAGATGTAGGTTCAGTTACATGGATTGGGATAGTTTTTCCGTTCTGTAAACAAGAAAGTTTGTAACCGATGATTGTTGGGCCTGATGGTGGTGTAAGAATTAATGCATTCTTATTGGTCTGTGCGCTTAGGTTTTGTGTAAACAAAATGCCCCAATGCTAGGTTTGATTTTCTATTGATAAAACGTATGTTAGGATGTATAAAGATTAAATGGCTAAGGAAATCTAGGAGGGATTCTTGAACATGAGATCAAAGAATTCCTCAAACAAAAGAATCATCAACGTAAGGTTTCCAAAATTTTGCTTTAGATAGAAGCTGTTGAGGGATTTCTTCTCAAAGGCTTCCATAAATATATTCGCGATGACTGGTGATAATGGAGAACCCAAAAATTTGACCGTTAAAAGCAAAATATGTTCCAGAAAAGCATTTTGCAATTTACGCGAGAAGGTTTGGGTCCAGATTTTCGGACTTTAATATATCTGAAATAATGTTGAGAGTTTCAGGAATAGGCACTTTAGTAAAGAAGGATTTTACGTCGAAACTAATCAGAATATCCTTTTTAATTGGTCAATAAAATGAAAGGAATTAATATATTAATGTATTGTATGTATAATGTAATAATAATAATAAAATAGTAATGACAGTAATGATAACAATATAATGTATATAATTTCTTAATGATTAAATCTGTATATAAATTTTTTTTATAAAAAATCTTTGACCTGGGACAAGTTCGATTTAAAAAAATACTAACCTTCAAAAAACCCACCCCAGCTTTGCCTTTGTCAATAAAAAAAAAATCGAATTAAGTGGAAAAAATAAAGCACGGGTTTATTTTTCCAACATTTTGATGTACAACTAAAAAAATAATAAAACTACTAGCCTCGCTGATTCTAGAACATTGAAAAATGCGGTTTTGTATTATCCTCGGTGTATTCGATCAATTACTTAGATAAATGTGCCAATCAAATGTCTTTTTTTAGGAAAATGCCCGTACGAATTATCAGCAACGTATAGAAATTTGCTGTGACGGAAAAGCGTCACTCACTAAAATAAAAATGACCTTACTGAAACTGAATCTCTTTTGCATTCCATTAATCTTCAACCAATGCGGATTATCGTGCCTAATCCTGAAGTGTTTGTAAGAATAAAGGTTATGTAAATAAATCTAAATGCTTTATCGGAAACATTCATGGAGATTGTGTACAAAACGAGGTACTTAAATACACACAGGCCCAAGCTGATTCATATTAAGGCAAAGTACTAGTGCATTATAAGGCAACTAGTACATGTTCTGTGAATAAATCAAGGAGAATTTTTCATACTCAGAAAATCACGTCTTTATCTATTTATCTTTCTTTTTTTTTTCGAAATTGCCCATAACTTTTTTATTTATGAAAATTTTGAATTCGGACAAAAATATTATTGTTGCATTTTTTTATGGCAAATGCAGTGGCGTACTCAGATTTTTTTACAGTTCTCCGTTTTTTCGTAAATCAATACAACTTTCTTATTTTTTATGGCAATAGTAGTTGGCTATGGGAAAAACATGCCTTCAGCCAAATAGATTTATTGGTATATATGATTAAGAAGGGCGGAATTTTTGTTTATGTATTACTACAGTTAAGGAAATAACTTTTATCCTTTAATGAATTTTGTGTTCTGTGAAACATAATTTTAGTGTCCAAACTTAAGTTTTTAGTTCACTTAGGAATTTAAAATATTCCAACAGTGTTTATCAAACGAAAATACAGAGGCAGCCAATGAACTTTATTTCAATACATATCCAGAGGGCTACCAACCAAAAAAGCAAATATTTCGGACGTTAAAAATAATTTAACCAATTACAGGAGTGTGAAAAAGTCAAGATAAAATGAAAACCACTTAAACGAAGAACGGGAAATCCGGAAATTGAATGTAATTGGAGAAGATTTGGAAAATGCATGCATATCCTCAGGAGTACTGGCTGAATCAACAAACTAAAGTTTTGACTACAAAATATACATTTAAGCTATATCGAACCAGAATAGTCCACCAATTACATAATGGGGATGTCGGTAGAAGAATACAATTTTGCAACTGGTTTATCTGAAAATACAATAGATACAATTCTAGTTGCTGAAGCACAGAAAATCCTCATGCTGTAGTGTTACAAGTTCAACAAGGTCGCTTAGGATTCAATGTATGGGTAGCAATTTTCCGAGGTAAATTTGTGGCATTTTATTTTTATTAATTAAAATGGTGATATTAATATTTATTTATTTATTAGTAGTATTAGTATTTATTATCACCAAGCAAATTTTTAATTGAAGAGTTTGGACAACGTTGGATTGGAACTAGAGACCCCATTCTATGTCCTGCGAGATCGTTTGATCTAACTCCTTTAGTTTTTTTTTATGGGGGAGATTAAAGGATCTTATATTTAAAGATATAATTTTCCAAACATTTACGTTAAAATATTTCATGTAAAAGTTTAATTTTTAATATTTTGTACTCTAATATTCAGTGTGTTATTTATTAGGTTAAAATAACTATAATCTTGTTTTTTAAATATTCAAAAATAATAAAATAATATATTAGAAATTAAAAAAATATATATTACATCTATTTTAACATATTATGCACGGTCTACTAATCACAAACAAAAAATGCCCTTAATTTCCGCCATTTTTAATCACAGATACAAACAATTCTATATGGCTCCAAAGGGCTCGACACGAGCATGTATTCAAGACCATAGCCAACTATGGTTGGCATATAAAATAAGAAAGTTGAATTCATTTACGAGAAAATGGAGAAGAGTAAAAAAAATCTGGGTACGAAACTGTATTTGCCTTAAAAAATGCCCTAATTTAAAATAAAACAGTTACGGGCAATTTTCAATAGGGCCGAAACTTGAAAACCCCTATATCTCGGTTGGTAGTGAAGATATCGCCATGCGGTTTTAACCATTAATGTTTCTCAAAAATCGAGCCATTGGTGAGCCGATTTTGCTCTATCTATGTGGAAGTTTCGTTGAAAAATTATTAACGTTTTCGTTTTCAAGAAAACATGATTAAGATTATTTTTTCAAATTTTCATGAGTTGGTATTATCAATGTCTATAACAGACCCAGGAGGAATGAGATCTAGCATTTGCTGGAAGTAGAGTTCGAAAACATCAGCATTCATATCCTCATGATAGTCTCCAGTCCACAGACAAATCTAGTTTTCCCAATAGTGTGATTAATCATTTTATTTCAGTGAACATCGTTCCAAGCCCTAATAGATAATCCTGTTTTCCGACAATGAGAATAAGTTTCTCACTTTTACAACGCGCAGTTCAAAAACACTATCCATTATCACAGATACCAACTGTGCTAACAAGTTTCGAAAAGTGACTATAATTCTAAGTTTGAATACTAGGGCATATTTAGATCAACTATATGTTTGGAATACTGCTAAGACTACTGAGTTTCGCAATTAGGTTATGAAACAGAGCAGACAATTTCCTACTAGAATATTATTTTACTGATTGGATAATTCCATCTATCAGAACAAACTCTGTCTAAGATGTCTTGTATTGTAGTTTTGATGATAATTAACTGATATTTGCAGATTTACAAACAAATGCCCATTTTTTTTTTTAGTCGGTGAGAAACAGTACATCATCAGAGGTTGCCAGCTTGCCCAGCAAAGCAACATCGACATTTGTCACAAGATCAGGGAGGCAAACATCGACAACCAACTGTCTGTGGTTCATTGCTCGAGGTGTGCAGTGGACAAGTGCAACCTGGCACCGCAAATACAAACATTTCCTATATATTTAACGCCGCTACTTATTATCAGATTTGTGGTCCTCGACTAGAGTTTTTAATTGTTAATTTTGCAATTTAATTTTGCTTTCCCATATGCTAGGCAACCGTCAGCGTAATATCGGTAAAAAAATTCGTATGTTCTAGTGAAGAAGAAGTAATTGAAGGTTGTAATCAATATAAATGCGTTTGCAGACCAAGATGTCTTTTAATGAGCTTGAGCTTTATGTGGTCATAAGTATTTAATGTCATTCGCATCAAAACTAACGTTCAATTTAAATTTGGGTCAACTTCAAAGTTTAGTTTCTCGCGAACTTTTTTATTTAAATTTTAGTTTCCGGCATGTACCACGTTTCACGGTGTGGGAACTTTTTCAGTGTACTACTTTTCCATGAAACTAAACATGTCGTTAACAACCTTTCCATGGCTCCTTTAGTTTTTAAGATACAGAGCCAAATTGAAAAAATATTTCTCAATCTTCATCGTCTTGGGTTTCGACAGACCCGCTCCAATAAAACTTTAACGATTTTATTACCTGTTGTTATTTGGTAAAGCCATTTACAAAAAAATATTCGAGTGGCTCAGGTATATTTCTTTCTTTCTGATATGTTGAATGTTGACCATTTGCGGCAGTGTTGAATAATCGTTTTTACTGTGCGTTTCGAAAAAGTTATTTTACGAGATTTTGCGAGATGTCGCGTCGAAATCATTTGTCCTTTGACGCAAAACAGGTTGTGAAAAATGTGTACCAAACTTTCATCAGTAGAGGACTTATTCAACAGGAAGCTTTGTAAAAAAACTGTCTACTTACAAAAACGGCTATACCGGCGATAAAATATATTATTAGTAGTTTAATAGTATTAATTAATAAATGTAGTGATTTTCAAACTTACCGTATGGGCAGTAGTGATCAGGACCTAATCCTCACATCGAATCAAAGCGAGGTTGTTCCTACTTTGGACAAACAGAAAAAGAGGCTAGAAGATGATGAAACCAATGTAAATATAAGTTGTGCCACTCTATGGAGGTTGAAGTTGTTTGTCAAATGGGATTTCAGTACCGCAAAATACGCAAAATTCAAATAGTAATGGAGATTACACACAAGAAATTAAAAGATATAGATTAGACAAGAGATCCATAATTTACCTTGATGAAACATGGTTCGATACGCACATCACTGTATTCAAAGGATCGATTTATTTCACTCTAAACTGTCAGTCGAAAACACCTTCAAATAAAGGAAAACGCACCGCCATAATACATGCTGGGTCAGATGACGGATTTGTTCCAAGCTGCTTGTTGCTGTCAGTAAAGAATATTCTGCTACTCAAAGCACCAGTCTTATCAAGATCCAAAACTGAAATCCAGGAATATTTGTTAAAAAATGATATTTATTTTAAGTTCGGTTACAAAAAGGCCCAACTTTTGGAAGTCCAAAATTCATATGCAATTAAAAAAGATAATTTTTATGCCTTCCTCCATTGCATGTTTAACGCCATAGGCCATTCATGGAAAAACGTAAAATCAAAGACCAGAGCAGAAAATGTTACTCCTACTTTAAATCCCCGTGCTATGAATTTGATAAAAAATGTAATTAATCACATATCAATTGAGAGATGGAAAAATTCAAAATTGAGGACTCTTTTATTTCATTTTCAATGACGACTCTGATAGTGGAACAGAATTAGATATAGACGTTTAGAATAAATATGTAATTATGTATAGATATCCCTAGTTATGAATTTATTGTAGATATTTAATATCATTGTTTCTTCTTAGCGTAATTTAATAAGATTATACCCACCTAAATAAACAAAAAAATATATATACCAAAGCATTTGAGAGTCCGTCCGTAATGTTCTGTCCTTTAATACCTACCGAACTCGAGTTTTATTGCTGTCGGCAGCTAACTTCCATAATTGCGGGCAAAAGTCAGCACCATGGAGATTTAGGCAGACTATGTCCCTCGTATCTCAGCTATCATCAACTCTATTCAAAAAGAAAAAGCAGATTGCAAAAGTATACAATTATGGTATGTTTTGTATGGCTTCATGGACCGACGATATTTTAGAACTTGCCATACTCTTGGTTGAGTAATGTTAAATTGTTTGATTGCTCTCGATGTGGATTTCTTTCGGATCCTTTCGCAAAATGTATGAATACGCTCGATGTTCTCGTTCGATGTGCGATATCTCGATGCCATTCGTAAAATTCATGACGAAATGCTCGCTAAACTGCAACAATGGACTTTGGTTTTGAGAATTGTAGAATACAAAAAGACTTCTCCTGTGGGGTCGCCAGTTCACTAAAGACTACCCACTTGCAAATAAAACAAGAACAAAGATCAGCGCCAATGCGGCCATAAATGGAACTGTTACGATAGTAATAATACATTTTACACTTTTCACTATCCATTAATCTTAGAGTCATGTTTCTATCTTTTGTAGCTTGGAAAGAATAAACGTTTGAAATCTGCACTTTCTTTTTGAGTAACCCTGTATAATAGTAATGTATGTATAATGAATAACAATAATAAACGATTCTCCATGCATCGTAGCTATCGAGCGGTACGGACGTGCTCCCGAATAAATTGTGTTTATTGTAGTTTCTCGGACGGATATAACATAAAAAAGTGTAATGGGTGAAAATAGTCTTAAATCATACAAGATAAAAAAAAAAGGAATGGTGTTGACTCAATCGGAAAAAACGCGCAGTTTCTCTTTAGATTTAGATATTCCTACAAGTGATATAAATAAAAGTGTACTTAAATAATAGAGACATGGATCGCGATGAGACATTTGCATTAAAAAGTAAAATATTGCGAACGCCTCCCTTGGTTGAAACTGGAGGCGATAAATCAGAAGATATAAATAACATTAAAAATAAAGGGCTGCTATAGAACGGAAGTCCAGAGGTTCTAAATTCTAATTCCCGCAAGAATTGCAAAAAAAAGAATTCCGAATAATAGTAACTAGGACCTAATTTTGCAATTTTATTACGAAATAGAGAATTTAAAGTTGGCAACTAGTAAGGAGCTTGGTAGTGGGGAACAGATATTTTCTAAGGAGGACCGAGACTTAGTTATAAATATGGAAAAAATTATTAGCGTTATGGTTACAGACTTGGAAATAAAGAAATTAAAGTCACAGTAACAGTTCCCGTTTAAGAGGGGCCTATACCTTATCTCGAAACCTACGCGGGTTTAAAAAAAAAAATTAAATGCAAAAGTTGATTATATCAAAAAGACCTTTTTTTTTATTTTCCGAATCGTCACTTTTTTATATACAGAGTGATAAAACAAAGTTACAATTTTTTAAATAGAACACCCTACATTTTATTGCATTTTTGGATAGTCCTTTCGAAGATAAATTCAACGATATATATGAATATGTATCTGTGATGCACCATTTCGAACTTATTAGCGACCATCTTCAGAATTCGAGTTATGTTTAAACGATCATTGTTGGGTTGCTTATTAACTTTTTAAACTATTTTCTTTTTTCTTTAGGCAGTAATCAAATTTAAAATATTTTCTTAAAATACACGGTGTTGCCAGGTTTCGCAAAATGATACTTTTCTTAATTTTCTTATTATATAACATAGTAGGGTCTCTGACTTACTATTTTGGTTTAATTTTCAATTATTTTCCAAGAATACATAAATTCTTTTAAATTCATAATTTAAGAATCTGGTAAATAAGGTCCTTAAATGAAAGAAAAAAAACTTTTAAAAAATATTTATATTCTTAATAATATAGATATAATATAGTATAGAAACCGGCCTGTTGAAAGACACAAACACAAAATTGATGATATTATTAATTTTGACCATTTTGACATAATCATCGCAGTAACTTTAAAAACAATAGTAGTTCTCTGTTGTGGTAATATTACTGATTTCTTGGCGGGTATTATAATATTTTAAGCGTATTTTTTCGGACTACTATTTTCTATTAATTTTATTAAGTTGCATTTTTGTTGAGTCTATTTTGCATAATGTATACGAAGGAGGAAAAAGTTGACCTATTAGAATGGTATATCGCCAATAGTAAAAGTCCAGCTCTTGCTCTCGGACAATATACACCCAAATTTCCCCATAGACCAGGAAAAAATATTTGTCAAAATATACCAGCAGTTTCGAACAAATGGCAGTGTTTTAGTGAAAAAAAGTAGGAGTCAAACGGTTTTGGAAGAAAATATGCAGGTAGATATTCTTCTGCATTTTGAAAATTCTCCAGAGACCTCTACCCGGATCGCCGTTTCAGATGTAGACGTAAGACGAACCACACTTGAATCATGTTTAAAAATTTACAGTTATAAGCCATTTAAATTTACAAATATTTAGATCTGCCATGTTATTTAATAGAGAAAATACGCATTATTGGAGTTCAGAAAATAAAAAATCCGTTTTTGAAGTAAACAAGCAGGGGCGAAGATCCGTGAAAGTATGGTGCGCAACCTGGAGATCTAGAATTTTAAGACCCATGTTTTACCAATAAAATTTTACATCCGTACGATATTTAAACTTATTAAGGAACGAAATTCGGCCACTTATACATAATAATATTCCCTAAAGAGAGCATCCAAATTTAATTTGGCAGCAAAATGGCGCTCCTTACCATCAAGCGAAAATTTGAAAGAATGGAGTGGACAAAACGGAAGCAACTCCTGGCGAGCGAGAAGTCCAGATTTGAGAAAATTGAGAAAAATATCATTTTGCGAACTATGACAACACCGCGTATTTTAAGAAAATATTTTAAATTTGATCATTGCCTAAAGAAAAGCATTATTTTCGTAAAAATAATAGATGGAAAAAAGTTGAAAAAGTGAATAAGCAACCCAACAATGATGGTTTAAACATAACCCGAATTCTGAATAAGTTCGAAACGGTGCACACAGATCCATACTCATATATGTATATCGTTGAATTTGTCTTTGAAGGGACTATCCAAAAATGCAATAAAATATAAGGTATTTTATCCTAAAAAATGTAAGTTTGTTTTACCACCCTCTGTATAAAAAAGTGACTATTAGGAAAGTAAAAAAATATAGGTCATTTTAATAGAAACAACTTTCGTGTTTGAATTTTTTTTTTGCAACCCCCCCTGGTATAGGTCCCTTTTAAATGGGCCACCCTGTACAATTCTCACAAGAGAAGCAAGTGCCAATTAGATCGACTAACAAGGAATG